GTTAAAAACTTTAAACTCGTGGCCCCTCTCCCTTTACTTGCATGTATCACATTTTCAATAACTCCTCTGGAAGACAACTGTATATAGCAGAGATAGTGTAATGGGAGAGGGGGAAAGGGCAGAGGGTCAAACATAGTATAAAAAACATATATATATGTATACATATGTATGAAAGTAGAAATGGAATATTATTGATGATAACATGCTTGATTAAGCCACTATGCAGTTTATCCTAGATGGGAAACCACATTTAGTATGTTGTGATGATGCTCAGGGAATGAATGTTAGGTAATAAAAAAAATAAAGTTGCAGGAGAAAAAAAAAAAAAAACGGTAAAAAAAAAAAATAGAGAGAGCCAAGAGGGCCAGCAGGGGGCGTAGTGGTTAAGGCACTGTACTCCCATATGGCCAAAGGAGGTCTGGGTCCCAGTCCTGGCAACTTGAAACTTATGCTAGGTGTATGTGCGTGTGTGCCCAAAATCCCAAGAGGAGAATGGAGAAGGGACTGTGGTGTGGCCATCCTCTCTGGGGGGGGGGGGGTTATTTCCCACTTTCTGTCTCTCTGTCTAGCACATGTGCCCTATAGCAAAAATTTCTCAAAAAAGAAAAAAAAAAGCCAAGAGATACTGCTGATTTGGGGGGAATAGTTAGCTATCTTTTCTCTTTGCTGATAGTAAGAGCTTTATAACTTATCATATTTCACCTTTTGCTCTGAACATCAAAAGTTATAGGGGCCAATCTGACATCCAAGCATAGCGATAGTATTTTGCTGGCTAAATTTGTGGGCTAGTTCATCAGTGTCCACAAAAATGACACAGTTCTGATTTTCTGTCTTCCTGATGTGCAAATCCTACTATAGATCTTCTTGCACCTGGCTAGTGTGGGATGCTCTCTGGGTCTAGTAAGGCCTTCGGTGTGTCACACCTAGATGCCAGCTGTCGCGGCTCCGCAAGATGGCGGCCACAGGCAGCTCACGACAAAACCCACAGAAACAGGAAACCTCGCAAGCTTCTGTGACCCCGTTACCTCTGTGGCTTCAGCAGTCACACACGACTGGTAGTGCTTCAGTGGAAGGTTACTTCAGATGTTTATTTCAGAACAGTTTACTTGTACTGTCTCTCAGCAGCACGGACATACCTTTCACTATTTTCTCCTTTCAAAGCGGCTAATCCCTCTTTTTAAACAATGGATGCCTTTGATGTCATCTATGGCAATGCAGAAATCAAATCCGTAGCACGCTCTGTGGCCACGGCACGTATCAGAGAGCAGCAATGGAAGGACAGGCGACAGCGGCAGTTGGTGGAAGTCGGGGACCTTAGAGTCAGGAACCTGGACAGAGGCCGGGGTCAGTCAGTGCACATGCGCGTAGAGCCTGGGGTAGGCACTGGGCGCAGAGCCGGACGGAGGCTGTGGGGACACCTGACTCACGAGGATCAGGGTCTGGAAGAGCTAAAGTGGCAGGATCTGGCTCTCATTCCTATTCTTCACTCCTTTACTGTGTGTTCTTCCCAAGTCGCTTCCTATCTCTGAGTCTCAGTTTCTTCATCTCTAAAACTGCTTAATACAGCTTGTTCTGTGTCCTGTGAGGAAGCGTGGCATTCCCAACATGGCTGGGAAGCGAGGATGAGGATGAATAGGAGGTAGAGCTGAAGCCTTGGGTGTGCTTCTACAGTATGGGTGACAGAGTGGCGGGAAAAGCCTTTCCAATCTGCAAAACTTACATGAAAACAAATGGTATGGTGGAAAGGTTTGCAGGCTGGCCTTGGAAGATCTGGAAATGCTCTAAAACCCTGCCCTGGATAGACTAGGAGATCTTTGTGGTCTTCCCCTCCTAACTTTACAAACAAACAAACAAAAAACCCCCCTCATTTTTAAACATTTTTTTTTTTTTATGGTAGGTGCTCTGTTTTCTTCTATTTATGCACGGGGTTGACTTTTCTACGGGTGAGTACATGTGGAAATCTGCAGTCACAGAATTTTAGATCTGAGAGGGTACTGGAAGTCACGTAGGCCCCTTGGTCATAAGGAATTCCCGTTGGGCATTCTACAAGGCTGGAATCCAGCTCCTTGTTTAGCCGATTCATCCCTGAGGGCCTGCCACAACCTCCTGCCTGGTGTACCCAGCAGCCAACAGTCTGTCCTTTCTTGCCCTCTCTAATAGACCAGCTAAGATGTGCTCCTCGAGGAGCATACCCACGGGCTCTGGCCAAGACTCACGGAGCAGCACAGAGGTGGTCTGCATGGGCTCTCCTATGTGTCTGAGTTAATGGGTGAGTTAACTTTTCTTTTTAGGGAAAAATTTTTGCTATAAGGCATATGCACTCACCAGAGAGAGAGAGAGAGAGAGAGACAATATTCCCCAGGGGGATGAGCACGCCACAATCCCCTCTCCTCCATTCTCCTCCTGGGACTCTGGTCACACATGCACATGGGCCCAGTGTGATTTTCAAGCCACCAGGTCTGGGATTTGAACTGCGGACAGCCACGTGGAGTCCAGCACCTCAACCATGATGCTACCTGCTGGCCCCATGAATAACTTTTTGTTCCTCGGTTTCCTCCTCTATTAGGGTGATGGTGGTATCCACTCATAGGCTTGTTGGGAGGATTAAGTAAGTTAATGCAGGCCCACTTAGAATAGTGCCTGGCACATAATCAGGACCGGCTGCGTTTACGATGCAACATCACTGCCATTGTCACCACTGTGCCATTGCTGTTTTGTTATCATCTGATATAATGTTATCACTTTATCATCATATGTGAGTGCTATTACGTCATGGCCTTATCACTTGACAGCAGGGAATAGAGTGGAAAGGTACTGTCTGTGGCCTGTTACGGAAGCCGCCTCCTCATCCACGTGGGTAAGCGTGTGAGAGGATCTCCCTTAACTGCAGCCTCCTGGAGAGCGAGGGCCTTTGTGACGCTGTGCCTTTGTGGAGCACCACCATGGGGACCTGAGGCTGGATGGGCACCATTCACCCCATTCCTTCCCACATGGACCTCCCACTGTCGTTAGAAAATGAGGGTGAGGTGGGAGGAGGTGGGAGAAAGAAATGGAGTCTGGCCTTGTTCCTAGACTGCAGAGGACCCTTACTTGGAAATTCTACTTCCAGAACTGGAAGTGAGACCTCTGCTCTAGGAGATGGAAGGCGGAAACAAGCAGTTATTAAACACCCACTTTGTATCGTGCTCTGTGACAGAAACTTGGGTAGCTGTATCCCATTGGCTGCTCCCAGCCACCTGCGAGGCAGGTAGACAAGGAACCGGGTCTCTGAGCACTTAAGAGCCCTGCCCAAGGTCAGGGATGAGGCCCTGGTCATCGATTCCAGAACCCATCTCTCAAGAAAAGACTGTGTTGCAGAAAAAGAAACAGAAAAAAAAGGCCCGGAATCGTGAGCTATACAAAGTCTGCTCGGTTCCTATTTACTTAAGAGGTTGGGTGCAAGATAAATACTTGGGCGATGTTTATAAAGGAAATTAAGTGGACTGGAGGAGCACTTTTCTAAAGCAACACAGGACATGCAAAGTACTTAGATCGACCTAGGCTGACCCCGAACTAGAATCCAAGGTTGTGCAGACGAACTCTCGATAGAAACTTTACAGTCTTATTTACCTTGACTGAGAAACGTCTGGAGGAATTTCCTCCACGTCGGGAACCGTTTCTCATTGACTGGCTGTGCGTGCTGTGCTAAAATGCCCCCCAGCTCCTCGGAGATCTTCACCAAAGCCGGCTCCTGCAGAAACAAATTAAATAGAACCACAAGCAATTTTACTACAGAAATGAAAACTGCTTGTGGAGTGATTAAAAACCAGGCCTCCAACAGGCAAAAAAAATGTGGTTACTGCTTACCCAGAGTCAGAGAGCCATTTTGAAAATTTTCTCTATTTTTCCTGCCATTTCAGTTTCCATAGTTGGCCCCCTAAAAATTGTAGCTGATTGTGCCTCATGCCTCCAAGAGGCACCCTCTGTCTGGGCGTCAGGGAACCCAGGTTTCAGACCCAAAGGAGTCTGACCAGCAGAGTGCCCTCAGGCAATGGACCTCCCCAGTGTGCACCTCGGTTTTCCTTTATGTCAAATGTGGGGTTAACTACTTGCCCCTAAGGCCCTTCAGACAGGGACTCTTTTGGTCATAGGGCATGTGCGCTTGTCAGAAAAAGAGAGAGAGAGAGAGAGAAGTGATAAATCACCCAAAGGGGGATGGTCATGTTGCAATCTCTCCTCCTCCATTCTCCTCGTGGGACCTTGGGTGTACATGCGCACATGCCCGGCATAACCCTCAAGTGCTGGGTCTGGGACTTGAATTGCAATCAGCCATGTGGGAGTTGAGCGTTCCAACTACTTCGCCACCTCTTGGCCCTGAGACTGGGATGTTAAAAGTTTGGTGACCCTCCCAGCTGAGCCTGGGAGAAATGGCATTGGCAGGGTCGTTCTTTGGTACCTCCATCTTGTTAATGTGTGTCCCCTCCCGTTCGTGGTGTCTGCATCTGGGACTCATCTTTGAAGCCCTATGGGCTGTAAAGGGGAGACTTAGCCGGGAGCAGGCTGAGAGAGAGAGTTAGGTGAGGAGGAGCGCGACCTGCCCGAAGTCCCCCTAGATCCCAGGCTCATCTGTCTAGATGTAAGATCGATCCCTACCATCAGCAGAGCAACCCAAAGACCACAGAGCCTCCCGACAAAAGGAAAACAGTAGGGAACCTTCTAGTGAATAAGAAGTCTGCTTAGAGAGAGAGAGAGAGAGAGAGACAATATTCCCCAGGGGGATGAGCACGCCACAATCCCCTCTCCTCCATTCTCCTCCTGGGACTCTGGTCACACATGCACATGGGCCCAGTGTGATTTTCAAGCCACCAGGTCTGGGATTTGAACTGCGGACAGCCACGTGGAGTCCAGCACCTCAACCATGATGCTACCTGCTGGCCCCATGAATAACTTTTTGTTCCTCGGTTTCCTCCTCTATTAGGGTGATGGTGGTATCCACTCATAGGCTTGTTGGGAGGATTAAGTAAGTTAATGCAGGCCCACTTAGAATAGTGCCTGGCACATAATCAGGACCGGCTGCGTTTACGATGCAACATCACTGCCATTGTCACCACTGTGCCATTGCTGTTTTGTTATCATCTGATATAATGTTATCACTTTATCATCATATGTGAGTGCTATTACGTCATGGCCTTATCACTTGACAGCAGGGAATAGAGTGGAAAGGTACTGTCTGTGGCCTGTTATGGAAGCCGCCTCCTCATCCACGTGGGTAAGCGTGTGAGAGGATCTCCCTTAACTGCAGCCTCCTGGAGAGCGAGGGCCTTTGTGACGCTGTGCCTTTGTGGAGCACCACCATGGGGACCTGAGGCTGGATGGGCACCATTCACCCCATTCCTTCCCACATGGACCTCCCACTGTCGTTAGAAAATGAGGGTGAGGTGGGAGGAGGTGGGAGAAAGAAATGGAGTCTGGCCTTGTTCCTAGACTGCAGAGGACCCTTACTTGGAAATTCTACTTCCAGAACTGGAAGTGAGACCTCTGCTCTAGGAGATGGAAGGCGGAAACAAGCAGTTATTAAACACCCACTTTGTATCGTGCTCTGTGACAGAAACTTGGGTAGCTGTATCCCATTGGCTGCTCCCAGCCACCTGCGAGGCAGGTAGACAAGGAACCGGGTCTCTGAGCACTTAAGAGCCCTGCCCAAGGTCAGGGATGAGGCCCTGGTCATCGATTCCAGAACCCATCTCTCAAGAAAAGACTGTGTTGCAGAAAAAGAAACAGAAAAAAAAGGCCCGGAATCGTGAGCTATACAAAGTCTGCTCGGTTCCTATTTACTTAAGAGGTTGGGTGCAAGATAAATACTTGGGCGATGTTTATAAAGGAAATTAAGTGGACTGGAGGAGCACTTTTCTAAAGCAACACAGGACATGCAAAGTACTTAGATCGACCTAGGCTGACCCCGAACTAGAATCCAAGGTTGTGCAGACGAACTCTCGATAGAAACTTTACAGTCTTATTTACCTTGACTGAGAAATGTCTGGAGGAATTTCCTCCACGTCGGGAACCGTTTCTCATTGACTGGCTGTGCGTGCTGTGCTAAAATGCCCCCCAGCTCCTCGGAGATCTTCACCAAAGCCGGCTCCTGCAGAAACAAATTAAATAGAACCACAAGCAATTTTACTACAGAAATGAAAACTGCTTGTGGAGTGATTAAAAACCAGGCCTCCAACAGGCAAAAAAAATGTGGTTACTGCTTACCCAGAGTCAGAGAGCCATTTTGAAAATTTTCTCTATTTTTCCTGCCATTTCAGTTTCCATAGTTGGCCCCCTAAAAATTGTAGCTGATTGTGCCTCATGCCTCCAAGAGGCACCCTCTGTCTGGGCGTCAGGGAACCCAGGTTTCAGACCCAAAGGAGTCTGACCAGCAGAGTGCCCTCAGGCAATGGACCTCCCCAGTGTGCACCTCGGTTTTCCTTTATGTCAAATGTGGGGTTAACTACTTGCCCCTAAGGCCCTTCAGACAGGGACTCTTTTGGTCATAGGGCATGTGCGCTTGTCAGAAAAAGAGAGAGAGAGAGAGAGAAGTGATAAATCACCCAAAGGGGGATGGTCATGTTGCAATCTCTCCTCCTCCATTCTCCTCGTGGGACCTTGGGTGTACATGCGCACATGCCCGGCATAACCCTCAAGTGCTGGGTCTGGGACTTGAATTGCAATCAGCCATGTGGGAGTTGAGCGTTCCAACTACTTCGCCACCTCTTGGCCCTGAGACTGGGATGTTAAAAGTTTGGTGACCCTCCCAGCTGAGCCTGGGAGAAATGGCATTGGCAGGGTCGTTCTTTGGTACCTCCATCTTGTTAATGTGTGTCCCCTCCCGTTCGTGGTGTCTGCATCTGGGACTCATCTTTGAAGCCCTATGGGCTGTAAAGGGGAGACTTAGCCGGGAGCAGGCTGAGAGAGAGAGTTAGGTGAGGAGGAGCGCGACCTGCCCGAAGTCCCCCTAGATCCCAGGCTCATCTGTCTAGATGTAAGATCGATCCCTACCATCAGCAGAGCAACCCAAAGACCACAGAGCCTCCCGACAAAAGGAAAACAGTAGGGAACCTTCTAGTGAATAAGAAGTCTGCTTTCAACATCCTGGTTTGCCAGGACAAAAAATAAATACTTTTTTGGATGTCATAAGTTACAACTTTCTTAGATTATCTAAACATTTCCAAGAAGCTTTCTTTCCACCAGAAGTGAGCAGCGCACTGAGGACAAACCCTGGGACGGCAGTATTCATATTCAAAATATGGGACCCAAAACACTTGCTTTAGGAGGCCGGGGGGGACTTCTAGAAGAATCGGCTCTGGCGGATGGGGCTGGAAAGAATCTTAGAATCATCCACATACCTTTTATTTCCAGTTTCTCTAACATTAACGGACCACTCCCTATGTGACTCCCCCCAGCTCCTTGAAACATCTGGTTGATTCTGGGTCGGCGTCCACTGGAATTCCACAACGTAAGACAAACACCTAGGAGTATACTCTAGGCAGGTATTCATAATCTGAATAATTTCGGAAATAACCAGAAAATCCTGATGGGAAAGTCTCTTCAGCTAGGTTAGCAACTGCTCGATAAACAGAACAGAAACACCCTGAGAAGCGGAGACTCCCTGACAGTTGGAGGGCGGAGGGGTGGGGTGAAGGCTGGGGATGCCGCTCATGTAGGATGCCGGGAGCTTCTGCCTCCGAATGTGGAAGCAAGGAAAACTGTTGTCAAAGCAATGGCCTTGGACCAGCAGGTGGTGTAGCGGTTACGGTGCTGGACTCCCACGTAGTCGACTGTGGTTCGAGTCCTGGACCCCGTGGCTAGAAACTTACACAGGGCACGTGTGCGTGCGTGCCCAAGATCCTGAGAGGAGAATGGAGGACAAGGGACTGTGGTATGGCCATCCTCCCTCCCCCCACCCGGGGGAGTGATTTCTCCCTTTCTAGCGAATGCACATACCCTATAGCATAATACTTCTCTTAAAAAAAAAAAAGGGGGGCAGTGGTTTTTCCCTCCCTTCTCTGTGCCCTCTTCTCTGGTCGATACTGTAAACCAGCCCACCTCCTCCATCTCCTGCATCCAAATCACAAATGAGCTCAGGAAATGGGCAAGCCCAGCCGTCTTCTCGTTCCTTCTCTGAGCAGAGCCCCAGATCCATCGTCCTTTTTGTTTTCTACTTGTTTCTGTTAAAGCCATTCTCCTCTATCAGGTAATCCCAAGTGGCTCTGACTCATGGAGTGCCCCAAGCTGGACAACGTGGGGCCCGGCTTTAGGTCTCACCCTGCTCTGGAAAATGAAATAACAAGAAAAGGAAACCTCACTGCCCAGGCCCTCATCCCAGAAGGTGGAGACTTCTTTTATTTTGTTCTATCTTGATTAAAAGGCCTCTTCTGCTCTGCTTCTGAAGGCTGTAAACCATCTACCCACTTAACTGCTATGTGGCCATTCACAGGAGAAAGACAGTCTAAGGAGAAACCATGCATTCACTCATCCAAATATCACAAAATTACAGAATATCAAGCTTTCAAGTAACTAACTGTTCTAGAGAAATAAAAGTGTTCAGGCATTTCACTTTTTGATGGGGAAGTAGATGCAGCGAAGAGCAGGAGGAAGTCTTTCCACCTCCATCTTTATTTACTCACCTTTTTTTTTTTTTTTTTGCTGAAGTTTGCTAAAGGGCACGGAGTTCACTGGAGAGAAACAGAGGAAAAGGGAGAAACCTCCTTATGAAGGATGCTCACCCTTCTCTTCTATTCTCCTCTTAGGATTTTAGGCATGCATGCACATGAGTGCTCAGCATGGTTTTCAAACTGCTGGGTCTAGGACTCGAACTGCACAGTCAGTCATGTGTGACCTAGTGCATTAACCACGGCACCATCTGCTGGGCTGTCCACCTCAATGTTGCAATCAGATCTGCATCTCATTCAGAGTTAGCTTGAGGATGGATCCCAACTCTTGTGTGCTAGGCCCTCTGACTTTTCACACGGCCTTACTACTCTCCTCCCCGGGAACCAGCCTTTCCCAAACTGCCTTCCCGTCTTCCTCCCTCCTCTTCCTCCCCGTGACGACTCCTTTTGGAGACAGTTCCAGCCACACCGCCCCCACACGCCTGCTCTGCTGCTCTAGACAGTTGTCCTTCTCTTCGCTCTCCAGCTCCCTTGGGTTCCGTGTGGCATGGACACTGGCTTTGAGGCCCGTCTCCCAGCCCGGGAAACATGAAAGGTCTGCAGAAGGAAGCATGGTGATGGTAAACAAAGGGACGCGGTCCTGAACAGCTCCAATCACAGAACAGAGAGAAAATGTGAGCCCTCCTCACTGCCTGCGAACCCCCTGGGGGTGACTACTCCAGAATCGTCAGTTCTGCCCGGGTGGTGTAAGGGACCCCTGCCTCTGAGGGGCATCGGGAAGATGTATGGGGTGATGTCTGTGGAGTGTCACCTCGGATGCAACGTGCCACGTGAGGGCCAGTAATCAGTGCGTAGGGCTGCGGCTTGCATGAGGCATCTGTACACCGCGCAGGCCGCCGTCAAGGCCGCTGCTTACAGGGCCCGCCGTACTGCCCCGCTGCAGTGTTTCCACCGTGCACAAAGCCACAGCAAGGGCACATTTCCTGGAGGAAAGACGTGCAGGAATCCGGGGGATGAACCGTGTCCCCCCATGAAATGTGCGCAGCTGAAGGCACTGGTGGGTGATGCTCAGTAAGGATGCTGCGGCACTCGGGCAGCCGGGGGCTGCGGTGAACTTGAAAGGACAAGACTTGGGTGGTAGGAGGTGGGATTAACTGCTGAAGTTCTTTATTTTGAAGGCATCTGATGGGAGTACAAGGATTATAGTAGGAATGGCCTTAATGCCAATGGAAAGAGAATTGTTCCTTCATTCCTATTAAAAAAAAAAAAAAAGATACAACAGAAGCAGCAGCTTACATTCCAGTAAGGACAGCAAAACGACATTCTGTGTAAGACCTTAATTTTACTCTTTTCTTCCTGAACAAGCCATGGCAGCACAGTTTCTACTGGGGACACAGGAGCTGCTTGGGAACTGGAGGGTCAGGCCAGAGCTCAGACCCGGAGCTCGGGTCCTCAGCAGTGCACAACCAAACTAAGAACAACCTCTTCCTTGGTAGCAACGAGGGCCCAGGCCACACAGGGCCTGTCCGTGTCAGGTCATGCCCTCGGACTGTTCTCTAGCGATGACTTCTACGCAGTTCAGACCTATCCCTGCAGTGAGGCAGATGCTGATAAGGCAAGCTCTGGAGCCACACAGGCCGGTTCTGTTCAGAACTCCCTCCACACACACACACACACACACACACGTGCACACACACACGTGCACACACCCCAGGGACACCCCTGTTCCTGGGAACGATGAGAACAGTATTTGCAAAACGCCCTCTCTTATGGCAGGCTCATTCAGTCCTTACGTAAGCGACACTCGGTGGGTGGTGGTGGTGGTGGCTACATGGCCCTATTTCCCTGCTTTACAAGTGGGTAGCTGAGTTACCCCAAATGCAGAGGCTCGTGGAAGAGCACCTGGCTTGTCACTGAGACATAAGAGAACCCAAGTACTCAACTGCACTTAGTCTTGGGGTTTGTCCATCTTCATAGATGAAATCTTAGGAAGATCAGCCTTTTACTTCTAACTTCGACTTCACAGTGGGTCTCACAGAATGAAAATCTTTTTTTTCTTTTTTTGAGATGTTTCTGCTATAGGGTGTGTGCGCTCGCCAGAAAGACAGAAAGAGACAGAGAGACAGCGAGAAATCACCCCCCGGGGTTGGGGGGAGGGTGGATGGCCACACCGCAATCCCTCCTCCATTCTCCTCTCAGGATCTTAGGCACACACGCACACAAGAACAGAATCTTTTACTCCCTCGCAAGAGATGAGGCTAATGCTTAACTAGTGAAAGTTAGCAATATCCTGCCTGAGTCATTGCAGATAGCCAGGCTATAGGGAGAGGGCGGGAAAGGACCTGCCTCACCTCCATACGACTGGCCGAAGATTTCACCAGTTCAAGCATTGCAAAGCCACACCTAGACCTTCACTGTTTTTAAAACAGGGTCTAAGATTGTCTTTTTTAAAATTAATTTTATTACATACGTGTGTGTGAACACG